TTATGGAAAGGTCAGTTCGGTCCAGTCTGTGTCCAACCTCACGCCGGTTTGAAGAGCCAAATGTCAGGAGCCAAATGAACCACTTCATCAGACAACTGGTCGGTTCGGCCTTCAAGTTATCATCAATCATTTCAGAGTCTCGGCGGAGACTTAAGCCCGCTCTAGGCAAGCACATACTTCTCTCTTCACCGTCACAACACGGGAAGACTTCCTAACGAAGCCATAGATTGCATTTAGATTACATCCCAAGTCTTTTATGTGCTCGACAATATTGAGAGGGTGTAGAAGCAGCCATGTGGCGAAGATACAATCGCAAATGCAATCAACGGGTAAAATTGACGGGTATTGTATATTATTTTATTGAAAGACCTTTATTGTACGTTTGTTCTCTTACAGGCTAAGTGCAAGTCATAAATAAAGCGGAAGTAACAAAATTACAGCAATATCTTATCAAAACTATAAGTATTGTCTGTGCTAAGACTAGTAGTAGTAGTAAGAGTGATGTGGTACAAGTTTGGGGCCACTCCCTTGAAAATCATGTTCTTTAACGGACTTACTAAAGTGGAACGTTTGAAAAATATTTCCTCTAAAGTGCTACAGAGCCTGATGAGAGTAGACGTTTACGTTCTGGAAATTGGTTCGCCAGCCACTTTCATTTTATGTTCGTTGCACATATACATTTTGTATTATCTCAACCTGTATCTTATCAGCACATTCGTGCTTGCCATCTAATGCTCATAAACTATGTGAATAAAATAAGATAAAATAGAATAGAATAGAATAGAATAGAATAGAATAGAATAGAATGAAATGAAATAAAATGAAATGAAATGAAATGAAATAAAATAAAATAAAATAAAATAAAATAAAATAAAATAAAATAAAATAAAATAAAATAAAATAAAATAAAATAAAATAAAAATAAAATAAAATAAAATAAAATAAAATAAAATAAAATAAAATAAAATAAAATAAAATAAAATAAAATAAAATAAAATTGACGTTATAGACAGGAAGAAACTGGCACCCCTGACTGCTATTCAGAGACGTTCTGCACTATCCCATTTCGCCCCATGTAGTGTAATTTTGTGGTACAGAAGATGAGGATAGGAGCCGCAAATAACCTCTATCAACTCGTGTCTTACATGAAAACAAATAACAGTTATTATACACATTTAGATGGGAAACAATTTAGCGGTAATATTACGCTCTTAAGTATCATTTACAATTACTGCGGCAAGAAAAATTGTTTCTGATACAGAAATGGATAATAAAACGAATCATTCTTTGTTAGAACCCAGTAATTTCATGCCTGTTACAGGCTCTTTATTTACCAGATTCGTTTTCTGTCAGCTTTGTGATAAGCACGTACATCAAAGAGCGTCCTGATATGATAGAGTCGGCCCGCGGTAACGGGAAGCCTCAGGGAAGCGCACATTTATATATGCATATTCTACAGCTATCAGCCCCAGCAACCAGATTACAAAGCACAGTGACTGGACATTTCTCAGATGCTATTCTTTAGCTCCAAGGTGACAAATATCTCGCACAGGACCGCAACTTTGGTCTTTGTGAAGTGAAGAGGAGATACAGCTAGCTACAGACCCTGGGGATGAGTGAGACGCACTACGCTGAAGTGGGTGTAATAATGATTATAACGTACTCCAGAATCAGATGGTAATTGATAGTGTGTCACGGGTATTGGAAAAGAAAGATAACTTTGGTGTCGTGTTGTGAGTGGAATCTCAATGGAAAGATACGATCTCACTGCGGTTAAGCGACGGTCACAACTCGCCGTGCGTGCTTTTTGTCCGTACGTTTTTGTCGTGGCTACGTCTGCTACGTTTTTTCTGCAAACGTAGGGTGGCCGGCCGAGGGAGTACGTCACTCGCAAGGTGTACGTACGTGGTCTGCACGACACGCCTGGCCGTCAGCGGTTGCGTGCATCGTACGTTGCGCAAGTGGTAAGTGAGTTGTACGTGCTTACAACGTACGATCTCTGTGCGATTGCCACGTTGCCGCGTACAGGCCGTACCTACACGTGCGGCGTGCGCACGATTTCCTTACTCACTCGCACGTTGTAAGTGCGTGCACCTCCTGATAACTTCATCATCACTAGCCGCCCTGGTGTCTTCCGCGGCCCGTTTCTTTGGATCTTGTCTGGTAGACTTCTTTTGAGCCTTCCTGGGCATCTTGGAGACGAGTTGGCAGTCGCCCGTCAAGTCGTCTTTATATACTGTAGAAATAAGGTGCGTTGCACGTGCGTTGCACGTGCGGAGCACCTAGTATGGTGCACGTGTGTTCTGCGTGGTCATTGAGCAGGTCAACTGGGAAGTGAGGAGTAAGCACGGATGACGCAAGCACCGTGCGTGGCACTCACGTGCTTCGTGCGCTGTCCGTACAGCAATTGCACGTGAGAATAGTGAAGTTAGACTCACGGAGTCCGTACGTTGCACGCTCATAGGCTGTACGGGGCACGCGCGTCGCACGTACTCGCACGCACGGGTGGTAAATCCGCAGACCGCACGTAGAAAAAGTATTACATGCACTTAAGGTTCTACGGCGTGTCTGCGTGCTCCCAAATCCGTAGGATTCCGTACGGAGGCGGTACTCACCACGCACGGATGCCGTACGTTTGCCCACGTTTTTGCACGTAGACAGCACGCAGAAGCACGTACGGCGAGTTGTGACCGAGGCTTTATGGAGACCGTGCACGGCCAGAGTGACGATATACAGAGTGAGAAGTATGATGAAAGGCTTGCCACATCTGTGGACGCTCTATGTCGTCTCAGCAATCTCGTCTCTTTAGAATCTTCTCTTAATTCAACCAGCACAACAGAAGGGCAATAGAGGGTCGTCTCTGCTTTTTACGTTTACCGAAAGAAAACATATTGTTTTTGCTACGTTTCCTCTTCTTCCTCTTCTCCATCCAAACCATGGTAACTAGTGTTGGGTTACATCATGTTTGCAATTTTATAGCAGGAGGGATTTATACTCCTGTCTGACCAAATATATGAATGTGTTTGAGTAAGAATTAACAGAGCAGACCATCTATGCGAAGGTAAACATTATGCAGTTGCGTTGCAAATGTTAGCTTTCTAATTCCACAGTATTTTCTTTTACGGTCACCTATAGGTTATCAAAAAGACATACGCTACACTTCCAGACTTAATTTCACAGTGAAGCAACCGGCTTGGAAGCAGCTGTGATATTCTGCCGCACGTTTTCGAGCAGGGACAGGGAATTACGCTGCGAGGAAAAACACGCGCGCGCACGGCCAGGGGATTGAGCCGAAATTGCACAGGACATCCCCGCATAAACAGGGGAGAATAAACACCAATGTGCGTCTGCCTGCCTGATTGCACAGGATTAGATCGGAAGAAACAGCGTAATGGGATTGTAAAGCTCATTGACCTGGTCCCAGCGGATGTGACTGCATTGCGTAAAAACCCCATATATGGGGGCATGAGGTTCCGGAAATGACGTCAAATTTGAACAAGAATTCATAGATCACAGACCCCCATGAAACTATGATGTTTACAAGTCACGACGTTTTAGGAGGAGTTGAAGATTTCACATGAAAAACTGGCTCCATTTGCCTAGACAACTACAGACGCAACGTAACCCGTTTGCAATTTCCTTTTGCAATCCACTTCTTTTTCGTGAAGGGAGAAAACTAACCGTCAACAAGGCAATGAAAGTACACTTAAGACACCAGTAAAGACAGCGGCCGCAACCACATGTACAAGAGATACTCCCTCTGGGACGGACTGAACCCAACAATATTGTACAACCGAAACACAGACACACACACGGACACACACGCACCGAAAACAACTAATTACCTTCGTCAAGAAGGTTATGTTTTCAGTAGCGTTACGTTTGTCCGTCTGTCCGTTTGTGAACAGCATAACTCAAGAAGTTTAATATGCATTGTCATGAAACTTTGTAGGTGGGTAGGTCTTGATAAGACCTAGAAATAATTAGATTTTGGGCCCCCTGGCGGCTTTTGTTAGTACTGCAGCAGAAATTCCGGTTTTGATATCTCGCGATCTGGACATACTAGGGTCACGAATTTTTGTTGGTAGATAGCTCATGGGGTAGGGAAGTAGTGACATGAGTTTGGGCCCCCTAGCAGCTTGTTTTGGAACTGCAGTAGCATTTGTTGAAAAATTTTCGAAGGAGGATAACTCAAGAACCGGTCGACGGATTGTCGTGATTTTTAGTATGTAGGTAGCTGAAGTGATGCTTGACATAATCAAATGACAATTATGCAAATCAGGAGTTAATTTGTATTGTTCGTCATTTGGCGAAGGTATGAGATCGTGGAACTCTTGTTAGTGTTGTACTCGATCCTACCGTGTAAGTGACTAGCTCCACTTTTCCACTATTCCACCTTTTACTTAAGATAGAATGCATCACTATTTATATAATTACAACCTATGCATTATGACGAAACCAAAAGCTATAGATCGAGAGCAACGAAAAATACATGTCGCTTGATCCTCGTCACATTGCCGTCTGACTATATACATATACTATGAGACTGGAACAAGTGGTCAATGTATTCTATGTAAACAGAAAAGGCTGAATGAGGACACCATAAAATCAAATCATGTTCGCTGTGTTGTTTAACTGCACATTTGTCCTGTTGTGTATTTTCAGGTTTTCGGTGACGTTGGGTGCAGGTTGATCGTCGGTCTGGACACCCTGACCATGCTGGCCAGTATCTTCACCCTGACGGCCATGAGCGCCGACAGGTTCTACGCCGTCATGTACCCGACACAGGCGATCTCCGAGGGGATCCAGATCACCAGTAAATCCCGCTGGATCACGTGCGCTGTGTGGATCGCCGCCCTGCTGATCACGCTGCCCTGGAGCGTCTGCATGAGTCTGCACGAGTCTGAACAGGCAGGGGAGCTGGTGGAGGTCTGCCTGCTCAGCTGGCCCAGTGAGGTAGGTCACATTGTGTATTTAGCCCTTCTGGGCAGGAATATGCAATAAAGATTTATCTTCAATGCAACTCGAAACACCTTCAAACTAGACAAACCAAAATCAATCAGCACTAAAAAGCCTTCACATACAGAACTACTGCAGCATGGAACTCTCTACCACATGGGTTACAAACAGTATCATCATGAGAAGTTCAAACAAGGCCTGCTAAAGCACATGAGGGACATGAATAAGTAGATCACATACGATGTTATACATTTGTATTTTTTAAATAACTGTATGTAATGTAACTTTAATCAATTGTATGTTGATGTATTGTAATGTGTTATGTGCTCCAGTCTCTCCTGGAAGAATAACTGTCACCCTCGGGTGGGCAGCTAAAGGAGAGTTTTTTCCACTTTAAATCACAATCCATTCGTTCTTCTACGTGTAACTCCAGGTGGGGAAACTTGTGTACATCACGCTGGTGTTCGTGCTGGGCTTCCCGCTGCCGTTCCTCGTCATCTCGGTGCTGTACGGGACCATGGTGTACCAGCTGTGGTCCACCATGCAGCCGGTCACCCTGGAGGAGCAGGACAGGACCGCCCGACAGCGCCGCAGCACGCTCAGGAGCTTCGTCAGCGTCGCGGAGGTATAAACAACTTTCCTTGATCTTGTACGTGTATATATGTGTAACTGTTATATATATGTATATAACGCCAGTTCTGTATCGGTATCGGTATAGCCGGTATAACCGCCTTTCGGCGTAACACACCAGCATCGCAGGCACGCGGCGAGGCGGAAACTATGTAATACTATATTACACCGAAGGACTTGTTACACTCATTCTTTGCATGATTTATTGCAGGAATTTTTTCAATCTTTCTGGTGATGATGCCCCAACTGTGCTTGGTGGCAACGAGCTCCACTCTACGATAGTTCAGAAAATACGATTTTTTGAACACCTCAATTTTTGGTTGATAACTCTGATATTTGAGGGTGTGACAGTTACTGATGAATGATAATAGATGATATCTGAAACATCTAACTCTTCAGAGACTTCATCCAGTAGCTTGTTTCATTTTCTACTAATGGACTAGGCGTTCTAGTAGACTAAGCGTTCTATATCCAACCTTCATCGATGTGCATTGCCGCAGGTGTCTCAGAGGGTAGTGGAGACCAGCTACATCCGGTCTAATCGGACGGTCAGCGTCAAGTACTCGGTGAGCGAGTCAGTGGCGAGCCGCCAGCTGTCCAAGCAGAGCGTGGTGTCGCGGCACGCCTCGACAGGGGCCGGGGTGGGCGGGCGCCTGCAGCCGCGGAGACTCAGCAGGAAGAGGCAGCACGTGTCCCGGTCCGTGCTCATCATCGTGGCGGTCTTCTTCGTGTGCTGGCTGCCGTACGGGATCCTACAGGTGAGACGGACTGGTGAACGCAACAGTACACAACAGTATCAGATCCTTAGCATCAAGAAGATACTGAGTTTGGAATTGAAAAAGATTCTTGCTTATCACTCACTCACTCTCACTCACTCACTCACTCACTCACTTCCATAGCGTAGTCAGCCGTTGGGGCAGCTTGATGTTTTCCACTGCTGACGATCTTCTACCAGCAGTCTGGTTGGCTGTTTGACCGGTCCACTCCTTGATCCATGACCGACGGAGACGTCCCACAGGCCATGCGCCTTCCGCTTACCCTGAACTTCCTTACGCCTACGACATGTATGTATCCACCGGGTGTATGCCCGACACCCAGGTAGTAAACCATTCCCTTCGTCTCTCCCCAGGTTTTGTACTACCACCACGTGTTCCGTCCGACCGCCGCCATGTACTACGTGCACCTGACGTTCGTGGGGCTGTCGTACCTGAACTCCTGCGCCAACCCGCTGCTGTACGTCATGCTGAGCGAGCGCTTCCGCCGGGAGATGGTCCAGTCCTGCTCCAGGATGTGCTCCTGTATCGGGTGGGAAGTGTGTGTGTGTGTGTGTGTGTGTGTGTTTGTTTGTTTGTTTGTTTGGGGCTAGCGAGTGGTTCCACCATCGTTATCATCATCATTGCCATCAGAGGCATCATTATCATTGTCATGGTCTTTGTCGTCGTCATCATCATCATCGCCATCATCATCATTGCCATCAGCGTCATCAACAGCATCATTGCCATCGTCATCATTGGCATGAGCGTCATCGTCATCATTGTCATCATCGTCATCATCATCATGATCATCATCGTCATTATCGTCATCATCTTCATCATCGTCATCATCGTCACTTGGTAGAGAGGAATCTAACATTAGGTTAAAACTTTAACACCCTCTTGTCTATTTTCCAGGTTGCGCTGTAAGAAGTCCAAACGGCAGCAGCAGCGACGGCACAGCTCAGAAGTAAAAGACGAGCAACAACAGCAGCTACAACAACAACAACAGGGTCCTTCCACCCCTATCGAAATGAACAACTTCAAACGAGTCCCCACCACCTCCATGGAGATGAACAACCTCAGACACGTCCACAACAAGATTAGAAATGATTTGTTATAAACACAAGACCGCAAAAATAGACAGTCGTAACGTTTATCTTAGTTGCCTGGGCTTTCTAAGAAACTCGTCTTCTTGGAGATTATAAAAAATTACAACACATGTAGTTTTCTGGTGTTCCAAGATTATGTATATGACGTCACAGTAACCGTTTTTTATGTAAAGTCACAGTCGCTAGTTTGTTGACCAGACATATAAACTGACATATTTACACTATAATTCTTTTGTTCCTGTTATTTTATAGGAAAATTCGAATTTACCTGGAAACATGCAGGTTTAACCAACCAGAATGGTGGATTATACTTACGTCATAGTCACGTGAGTGCTAAAACGCTATTGCCAGCACTGTACTGTTTTTCGAACTTTACGGTACAGTCTTGTTATGTTTACTGAAGGAAAACATATTGTTTTTCCGCTGTTTCCTCTTCCTCTTCTCCAAACAGATAAGGTCAATGACCTAAAGCAGACACCATGATGACTGGTGTTGGGTTACATCATGTTGCAATTTTAAAGCAGGAGGGATATAGACTCCTGTGTCACAATATATATGAATGTGTTTGAGTAAGAATTAACAGAGAAGACCAGATGCGAAGGTAAACATTATGCATTTACTTTGTACTATTGTCATGTTTTGTGATGTCTTCGATATACTAAATCAAACAAATGGTCTATATTATTGTAAGCTAACGTGATGATAGTTCAAATTTGAATGAAACAGGTTTACTATATTTTTGAATATGATTAAAAGGTGGTACAATATCTAATGATATTCTATTGCATTGTTAACGTGTTTTAGATTTTGTGATTTCGCTGTGATTACATTATAGATTCCCCAGCTTTGGACATTTAAATCAGAAAAATTCATATTTCTTATGAAACTTGACAAACCATGTACCACCAGTTCTATATGCTCGTACATCTATAACTGCGTCAAGAAGCGAGAAGAAGTCGAACCATGTAAATAGTAGATCACATTAGTACGTATAGTTTAAGTATCATTGCTGTATCCTTTTCCTTGTCTATTCATGACCTATACTTAGCTTGTTAGAGCACAAACGTACAATAAAAGTCATTCATTCATTCATTCATTCATTCATTAATAGGTCATGTATTTCAGCTTGTCTGGGTGCAGTAATTTCTGCTCTCGTTCAATGAACCCTTTAAACCACGAATATGTTATAGTCTCGTTGATTTCACACGATTTAAGCTGCATGTAAGCATCAACATAATATCGACTGTTTCTCTTCGTACCCTTTGAGCTTTTGGCCCTTTCAATCATTGATCTCTTTCTTACTCAATATACCGTGACTTATCAAAAATATACTGTGACTATAGAGATAAATACAGATCACTTCCCGCATAATTAATCATCGGCTTGCAACTAACTTAGAAAATATCTGGGACTATTTAAAAAAACAGATCTACAATTCATAAGCAGATTGCTATCTACCTTCTTTCATCTTTTGCGAGACTGATAGGTGCGATCTACTAGCCTTCCTTTGTGGAGATAAGAGCACGGCGGATGTCTTTTATGCCCAGAAGCCTAACCGTTCTGCTAATTCCTCGGAAAGGTCTCTTCTCTATGCGCGCCGTGTCGGCGTATATCTGTGGGCAACCCGCATCTGAAACGTGCGTGCCCGCCGGGTGAATGGTAGCCTCTTCGATCAGTCACGCCTGACATGCAGCTAAGAGACATCCACACTTGCAACAAACTCAGGAGAAGTTTACATAGTGTTAACTAGCACCCGTTTTTTCGTCAACTGAGATTTTGTGGCATAGGATCGAAAAAAACTAAACCAATCCGTCAAAGTTGACTGACAAAATTAACAAAAATCTTGGGAAAATATTATAAAAACATCCAAAGGACTACCACTCTTAACCCCGTGATTTGCCTCTCAAAATGTCGAAATCGGGTTTTTAATGGCTTGAAAATCCTGCCTCCGGACCCCCTAGATTGCGAGCACTGTCTCACCCCAGGTCAGATCATGAACCTGACCTGACGGAAAAAATTCAAGCTGGCTAGCCTCAGCCATGAGTTTACAGCCTGGAGCGCGCACTGTCACTGTGTTAAATGATTTCATGACTTGATTCTTGACAAGAATTATATGTTGAACAGCCGTAACATCGCTACACTGCATACGACCTCAGGTTTGTGTGTATGCATCCTGTAATAAGGAGTCTTTCAGTCACTATCTATCACCTTGAACAAACACCCACTCACGGAGAATACATGATTACAGTACACACAGGGACGTACGTAAAGGCCACGAGGCAGTACAATAAGCACATGTAGCAAATTGTTAAGATTGTAGCAAACGTGTTTGGTAGTCTTTCAGGAGCCTTTCAGTCACTATCTATCACCTTGAACAAACTCTGCTATACACCCACTCACGGAGAATACGTACATGATTACAGTACACACAGGGACTGTTTCTTCTATGACGTGCGTAAGGTAAAGGCCATTGGGCAGTACAATTAGCACATGTAGCAAATTGTAGTACGTGTTAGTACGTTGTTTCTGAGCTGGTATTAGATACCTAGTAGTGGGTAGGTACTTCCCCCACTTGTTATTTTGAACATCATGCGTAGTCTGGACATTTTCTGTTGGACATTTTTCGTGACGCCTTTATCCGTCCCTGTCGTACCCACACGTACGTACATGTACATGTCTGTAGCCATTGTACTTTCTCAGGAGATGGATAAAAGCGAAAAGCACAGGCAAAAACGAATCCGAAAACACTTGAGAACCTCTCACAGAAATGTCAGAGACCGGCGTACGGCACTTACGCGTTCTCCGAGTAAAAGCTTAAGAACCCTTAAGTCTTCGTCGATTTCCTCAAGTTGTACTTGTTTTTCAGAAGTTCGATTGCCTTAACATAAATATCGAGCTCATCCGCCAACTCACTAGTCGTTGTGGCAGCTCTAAAGCTGTCCTCGGCACCAATTTCACCCTCAATGGTCTCTAAAATTGGGGCTTCGTTTTTGCACTTTAGTTTTTCCAAGTCGACTGCATCGATGTAAAGTGCTTCTCAGACCTGGAGAGAGTGGTCTGTGTGTACTTAGGACCGAGCCTCCGGTTGTGTGTGTGTGTGGTGGGGGGTGGGGGGAAAATGAAATTCAGCATGCTGGTAGGTTGGTACGTT